TGAGCATATGCTTGATCCGAGGTTAATACTGTGGATGGACGAAATCCTGCACCACCTGACAAACCCGAAAATCATGATTCCCTTGTAAATACCAACCAACACTGGCTTCCTATGGTTTCAAGTGGTGCAGGATTTTGTCCATCCACAGTATGTTCTCTTCCCCCGGGGAGAGAAAAATCCAAAAAACGATCTGCTTTCCGAGCAGCCCCGGGCTTGGTCACCAGGTATGCCGTGCCAACCTGCTGCAAAATGTCGATCTTCACCGGGTTCTCCTGGTCCGAATCCCATCCCTGTTCTTTCCCCCGGAAGAAGAAGAGTCCTGGGTCCAAAAGGTTGAACATCCCCGCGGACAAGGGACCCGGGGTCCATCAAAGTGAACATCTTGTGCTTGTTGTGTTTGATTTCAAGCCGCCACTGTAGAGGGTGAGATGACAGATGACACTTTAATGGACCCATAGATGAGGGCAATACACTGTTAAAGCAGCGGGGTAACCAAACCGCTTCTTGAACATCTTGAGGCTAAGGAATTCATCTGTTGGAAAAGGATGAGACAGCTCATGCCTGCAATTATTGGATTCGGCCGACAGGCCAGTCACTGCAAAAGGGATGGCGAGAGAAAGCAGAGAAAGAGAAAGACAAAACGCTGGTTGCAGAAGTGACATAGTTTACTAGAAAGGCGGGGTTTCGAAACTGGGATGATGCAAACAGTTTACATGGTTGGCACCGCCTGCTATCATTGGAGGTTGGGGCACAATTGCGACAAACTCCGGAATGGCTTTGGGAGCCCTTCTTTTGAAGCTCCCACCCTACCAAAAGGAGCCTTACTTCAAACGGGCAGCCAACAGTGATATTGAACACTACCGCGTGCATGCGTGTGTCTTCTTGAGTGTACCCTTTTTGGGAGATACTTTTAAAAGGAAGCGAAGGGAAACTCCAAAAAACAAAAACACATGCAAGCTGACGTTGGCAACCTCCGATGGCGGATCTGCAGCCTCTCTCGTCTCCAGTCCTCCAAAGTGATCTTCGGAAATCGGAACCTCACTGCGAAACTGGCCACAGCCAGTTTGGGCCGCGATTCGGGAGACCAAAGGCGGCAACACGTGAGTGCCTTTCCTCGAGGCTCGGTACACTACTCGCAGGCTTGGGCTTTGGCCTACTGGCCTTACTTCATGCCGCTCTCCTGCCCCTTGCTCCAAGCATTTGGGGGCTTGCATGCCCGGAGCTCAAGCAGCTGAGCCCATTGTGGCCTTCTGTGAACTGTCCTTTGGCGGTTTCCGTATTTCTTCAGCTCAAGGATAAGAAGCCCACTTCTTGAGCCTGCCTTGCTGAAATCTGGTTAAGCATGGCTCAGCGTCTCGGGGCACGTACCAATCTTCCCCACACTTAGCCTTTCAACAGGCGCACGCAGTGCGGCCAGCCGAAACCGTGCATGCGTCCACTCGGGTGCCCAAACGGTGGCACTCTTACAGCGCTCTCCTAGATCACACCGAACCGGCTTCTCCTGGCAACCTGGATGTTTGTAACCCTGAAAATCTGCGAGCAAGGTTTTCCGGTCTCAAGCGACACAAGCCGTGCATTTGGAGTTGGACAAAATCGCTTTCGCAGCGATGGAAGCCGGCTGCGCGGGTCTTTTTGGAGAAAGTCCTTTTTTTTTAACACAAATGGCTTTGGTAGTCAACCAACAGGAACACCACGATTTTGGGGGGCTCCCCCAAAAAAAGACGTGACATGGTTGCGGGGTCCCCTAATTTAACAAAAACAGCCAACTGCTGCATGTTGTCCAGTGCTTGCGGCCAATCGCACTGAGAACGAGGTTTCTGGGCGTCGGGCGGGCGGCCGCTCGAGATCTGTGCTTGCCTCCGAAGGCGGTTGGCTGGCGGGAAATCATCTTGGCGTGGGCCCTGCAGCTCGTGTACCCAGGCTTGATGTTGGTCATATGGCCATGGGTCAACAGCCGAATCGTACCCCCAGTGAACATCTCAATCCAACCACTAAAATAGGCTCTCAAATGGGTGGTGCAACCCCAAAATGGTACCATTGGTTTTGACCCACAGCCATACCCTAACCAAGCCAAGAGAGCAAAGGGTACTTCTACTCGATGTGGCTGTTGCAATCGTGATACTGCGCCGAACAAGAAGTTGGCATCAAAGCAAAGGTACGGGGCATGCTTTAAATGTTGCAAGTAAACCAACAATGCTTAATCACACTAAATCAAAGGGCTCCTTGTTCTCTTACCTGCAATATTTAGGGCATCCACGGTACTTGCGGGTTCGACCAAATTAGTCAGTGTTTAGTACCCTGGCTGATGTGTTCCCGGCAGATCAGTCAAGCCTGTTGTTGGCGAGCTACGACACACCCAAACTCTGTGAACCTCCAAATTGCAGGGATCTGCTGTCCTGCTGTGATCAAGTGTACTGCATTTGTTTCTCGCGAGGAACTGCTGATTGCAAACACTGTTCTAACAGCAGCCAGATCTGCAGTGCGTTTAGATTGGGATGCTGCGAAACCAAAAGTCGTACTGGTGGGTGAAATCCATTTCGCACCACCTAAGAAACCCTGGTTTCTGATGATTCCCCTGAATACCAACAAAAACGTTCTGGTTCCCCCTGGTTTCTTAGGTGGTGCGGACAGATTCCCCGTGGGAGACCCCATGGCTTCATTTCGTGCGCACGGATTTGGTCCATCCAAAGCTCCTGGCTGGGGCTCGAGGGCAAGCGATTTGCTCGTGCGAGCGGCTGTTGGTTCCCTTACCAGGGCCTAGGAATCCTTCTTGCCTGGATGAAGCATTTTGAAACAAGAGAAGCAAGCAATGCAAGCAAACAAGCAAGCAAGCAAGCAAGCAAGCAAGCAAACAAGCAAGCAAGCAAGCAAGCAAACAAGCAAAGACAAACAACCACACATACGGGCAACCAAACAACGGATCTGCAAAGTTTGGGATCGCGCCTAAACCGGGCAACCGGGAAAGAGTGGGGGGGTTGACGGTTGACCCGTGGAAGAATGGGGATTAGTTCCCTCAAAAGGCCAAGAGATCTATCCACCAGCCATCACCATTCACCTTGACCCAATTGGTGGTTTGGTAGTTTGGATGTTAGGGGTAATTACCTTCCCATGTCTCAAACGGTGGGGTTCAAAGCCAACTCCAAACCACCAATCCAACCCATCAGCCAAGGGTTGCCCTCAACCCCAACATGTTCTATCCTCAGCCGCCCCGAAAACCCAAGCCCACTCCGCCTTCTGACCGTGCCCGCACGGATGGACAGCACCTCAGGCGCGCGGTCCGATCCCTGGAAACCTCTTGCAAAAGAGAAAAAACACATTGGGCCTTCTTGAAACCCGTTTGCCATTGGCTTGTCTCACAACGGACCCCCAAGAGCCCCAAAAGGGATGGGGATGTTTGGTTGACTTCCCCCAAACAACTACCCAACACATGGTAGCCTCCAAAAAAAGACCGCCACCCCCCCCATATCCGGCTCCGCAAGCTGTCCGCCCTTACTGATGAGATCCAATCCATACCGGTTGCTCCTTCCGCTGTACCGGACAATCCAGAAAGGCTCCCTGTTGTTCCAATAAAGCTGTTTTTGCGACCTCCATTTGACTTTCTTCGGCTTCCCTCTAATTGGTGGATAGAATTAGTGGTTTGGTGGTTTAGACGTGGTTTCCCATTAACCCTCTACAACAGCCAGAAGTTCAAATCCCCAAGCCACCAAGCCAAACCAACAGCTAAGGGTTACGCGTTTTTGGGCCCAAAAACCAGGTTGAAGTCGGAAAGAAGGGTCCCCAACATCCAGTTGTTTCCAACGGGTCTCCCTGCGATTCGGTCACGCTGAAGCCATGAGAGTCTACGATGAGTTGAATCTTTCAGAATGAGGGGGCGGCAAACCTTTCAGCATCATTCACCAACCAAAAACCTGGGAGTTGTATGCGTATTGGAGGAAGGTGGAGGCGAAGCTCGGTGAAAGACGTCGGGGCCGGGGAAGCCTGCTAAAAGGGACCGTGGGTCTTGGTCGGCCGGTTGGTTGGATCGTTTTGGTTTTTACACAAAGCGCCCCGAAAATTGAAGTGTCGCAATGGTGTTTTTAACGATTCGCCCCCAAAGTTCGGGCGACAATGGGTTTTGAAAAGGGGAATTTGCTGATTGTTCCCCTTTGAATTATCGTGCGCAGCCGCTTAGTTTTGACACAGAGCCACTTCACCGATTCTCTCAAGCATTGTGAACAACAAAAGAGCAAACAAGCCATAACAAAAGAAACCAAAGCACATGCAAACAAAGGCATATCAAAGCGGACTCGAACTTCCATGATTTGAAAGCTGCATCATGCAAGGCAAAAGCAATGCCTTGCCCATTAGGCCACTGGGTCGAGTGCCTCATTGTTGCGGCAACAACACAAGGAACACAGTCTTTCGTCACCAACCAACAACCAACACCAAACCAAGTCATTGCAAACCAACCAACTAGCCCAACCAGCCAACCAATGGCGAGGGAGTCCCACACGGACTGTAGAAAATGGCTATCCGTGATAACGTTAATAGTATATATAGAACAGCTACATGTTGTAATAGTAGTAGCCCCCTGAACCAAGAAACAAAAACCATTGGCGCAGTCACCAAGGCGGGCCCCGATGCTTGAGTCTGGCGCCCTCAGCGCTCACCCGCAAAAGAAATAACTTGCGATCGGTGCGAGAGACGCAGGGAATGAGAATTGGAATGACCCTGAACTAAACCATCCGGTTCCTATGGCTTCCTTTGTAGGAATCCGAATCCCCAAAGGATTAATTCCTTCATTCCCTTCTGAGCACCAGGAAGATAAGCTGGTGTTCCAACAAACCTCAGCTTCACAGTCGTCTTGGATTGGATTCGGGCAACTGCCGAAGTAGCTCCTTCATTGCTTCGCCAACTGATTTGTTTTAAATGCCAATTCGTTGATCGAAACACGAGATTGGTGGTTTGGATCCCTTTGCCTCCCCGCCTTCTCTTAGGGGCCCTGGCAGCGTCGTCGGTGACTCCTGTCTTGGAAAGCCTGAACGAAAAATTGGCCCGGGACGACGCAAACCTACTGGCTTCAACCCGCGTAAAATTCAAATCGGGACGTCCAAAACGGTGTTCCGCCAAAAAAAAACAAAAAGCGCATCGTCCCACCCATTTGGCGCCCTGCCTGAAAATGTCAATGGGTGGAGGAATTTTAGAGGAGCACTCAAAATCATCATCGCTTTCCCGGATCCCCCGTCAGAAGTGATCAATCCCAAATGAGGGCTCCCTGAAGGAACCGTTGTAGCTGGTGTCGCAACCTCTCTGAGGTCAAAATCAATCCCGGATCCTAGACAAGCCAAGTGGAATGCTCCATGCCAGGCAAGCCTTCAGGAGTCACACAGGTGTTTGCGGGTTCACTCTGTTTATCCTTCCTCGGTTCTCTTGCCTTTGACCCAAATGAAACCCTTTCAAATGTTCAAAATGGAGGGCTGGCCACTCCTCCACAATTCATGGCTGGACATGGGGCCAATCCTTGCGAAGCCCAAACCAAGGATTAAGAGCTGCCTTTACAGCCCAGCTTTGGCACGGCATGACGCTTGGTCTCCAAGGTCAAGCATCGAGTCAGTCAGCTGCAGGACCCTGTAGCCAAAAGCTTGACATCCCCCCAAGTCGCCGAACTAAGACCCAGAAAGGTTTCTCTCCGGAAAATCCACATGCCTCAAAAGATCAGTCCCCGAAAGAGCTTCCCTTGAAACGATGACATTAGTTGACCCCTTTGATTCAAAAGCAAAATGAAGCAGTCACTAGCCAGACTATCATTATATGTTTCTTAAACCGGACCATCAAAAAGTCATTTGCCTAACTTTCAAGGGAAGCCAAGAGAAGCCGTGCAACTCAACCAGTTTCGAACTTCAGGACAGCAGAACATGTCTCCTGACCCTAAAACAGGTGATGTCCCATGTGACTTCCCCGGACGGTGAAAATGAACCGCCAATTCTATCTGCCGCACATCACTTGCTCCCTCTCACAAATTAAAAGCCCTGCGGCTGCCGCTTCTTTCGGAAACCCAACCAGTTGAGCGATTGGAAGCTGACATATGGGTGGCTCGTCTTTTTTCGAGGCTCGGGACCCTGTTTTTTGGTTGGTTTGAAGGGAAACTAACAGGAACACCATTGCGCCGCTTTTGGGGGTCCATACCTTTGAGAATTCAAAAAAATAAAACGCGCCACCCATAGAAACCCTTGAACTAGATCAAGTGGACATCCCGCCATGGCCATGGCGCGTCTATGGGCATCCGAGGGCATCGCACTTTGACCTCCATAGGGAAAACGTCCTGGAGCCAAACCTCCGCTGCGCGCCAGTGGTTGGAGTGAGAGGCTGTCGGAGGGTCTCCTTTGGCAAAGTCTGGGAACTTTGCCACGCCTGTTCACATGCCGATGTTGCTGGACATTCATGAGGATTTCGACCAGAGTGAGATGACATCTTAGGATGCAACAAGAGACAGGGGCCCGATCTGCGCGAGCACCTGTGCTGAAAAATGACCACGAGGGCTTTGTCTGCTTTGAGTACCCTCTTTGTGGCTGTGTCAAGGGGCATCAAAATGGAGACCATCCAGCTTCGGGACAAACCTGTGCTTGGCATTTGTTGACTGACCCGCCACTCCCTACTCATCATTCAACTTTTCGCGGATTGGAGCAGTGCCAAGCTTCACATGGGAATGCAAGAATATGCATCAATGAACAACAACAGCCATGAACATGAGTTCGATCAACTGCCGAAATTGGCTAAAGCATGGATTCAATAAAGAAGATGACGGCACGATGCACTGAGTTGCAAACAGCAGAGAACAGGGAAAAACATCAAACACGGAATTCCTTGCTCGGGTTCCCCTGTTATTGCTTGTTCTCAGTAACTCAGAGGGAATAACCCGCATCAACCATGCCCTTTGCTTGCCTCTAAGGGGTCTCGAAACGGTTCATTCTCGAAACCCCGGGTGATTCCCTGAGCACCGGCAAGCTTTGGATCGGAAAACCGCGCAACCAAACGTGGAGCATCCGAGCGGTTCCCAATCTCGGGCGCATGGGGCATCAACTCTAAGTCTCGACTTGGTGATGTGCCATGGGGAAAACTGGCGCCCCTTGTTACCCACCTACCCCACCCTACCCTGCCTTACTAGGTTACCGTCGAACACCCAAGTACCTGCGGAAACAAGTTGAATTGATTGGAAGGCATTACCCTTCTCGCGGAGCCCGGGCCAAGTGATAATTTAGGGGGAAGCGCGGAACCTTCTTCTCAGGCTTCCGACCCCCCCAACAACAAAAAGGAGTGTTTTCTTGTGGTTTCCGGCAAGCCAACCGAGAAAAAAAAAACACAACCATACTCTGGGCGCCATCATCTTTGAAAAAATAAACCTTGTCGGGTTGGCTTAAAGGGAAGCAAAAAGGAAGACAAGCCCAGCTGAGTCTGTCCATTGGCTCTTGGCACCCCGCAGGTTCGCCGACGCCCGCCCCCGCCACTTGGGCCGCTGACACTGCGGACTGCGGTTTTCTCAAGCAACAGACGGTGTGTCGTTAAATGGGTGGGGTACACACAAACTCTGTGTGTGTGTGTGTGTTCCTGTTATGTTGTTTTCCATTCCAAGACACACAGCGCACCCTCTAAAAACGAGGCCCCCGAATGTGTGTGCGCGCGCCGAGTTCCAGATGAACCCTGGAAACAATTCTCAGGAGGCCCATGGAGCTGTGCCCAACGAAGCTCTCATTGTTGTCTTCAGGATAGGGCTGATCACCCTGATGTAGCAAGGTCTTTTTGGTCCCCTGTGTTTCTCCTCCTGCGTGGTTCTTTTGGATTTGGTAGCGTTGTCGATCCTAGAGGGAAGCCACTTCGAAATCATGAAGCATGAATCCATTCTCCCACTGGATACGCCGACTCGAACTTGATTGGCAGCCTCCCTCGACATCACCCAATAACCCCTTAAACTTGCAAGCAAAAGTGTATCTCATTTGTGAAGCCACTCTTGTGACACAACTGGGAAGCCCTGTTTGGCAAACTTGGTGGCTTTCCACCATGCAATCCAAAGAGCTATAAGACAAGATTATCTGGGGACCCAAGCCTTTTTGACACATAGCCAGCATGTAGGCAAAGACAGCTCCCTTGCCAGACATATAAAGAGATGGTGTGTCAATGGGCGACGCTGCTGGCAATGGAGTAAAGAACATGCCGGTGGCTCTGTCTAAAAAACCAGAAACTGCCAGCTTGATACATCTTCTCCTCTCCTCGCTTGCCTATTCATGACTGGGCAATGGCCATCCTCTGTGTTGAGTCCCTCATCCCTGAAGCCAACCTAAGCCATGTTGATTGAACCTGAAGAGCAAATCCAGGTGCTGACCACGCCAAACAGCCCATGGCACGGCGGCTCGTTGATCTCTTTCGCCGGGCTGCGCCAATGGCTGGGTCCGGCTTCCGGCTTCCTGGGCGCGCCCCCGGCCCCGCTGAAGCAGGGCAGCAGATGGCTTGGCGGAGCACTCGGGAAATGTCGGGCAACACTCCTTGATCTGAGTGTCATTAAAGGCAAATGCCATGCCACCAACAGCAAGCCTACGACTTATAAGCAGATGCCAAGAACAAAAGGCTTCTGTACGGAACTTCACGGTGAGGTCGCAAAAAAAAAAAAAAACGCAATGTGTGTCCTTTTACCCTCTGGGATAGGGTTATCCCTTCAAGGGGTGGGGGTGCCCATGGAGAAAGCTCCATCCCAGAAGGGCTCTTCGGACCTTAGGAATGGTTCTGAAGGGGGCATACCTGGATGACCGCCTCATTAAGTGGCCACCTAGGTCCGTTAGGTTGGTTGTATCCAGAGTAGGTCCCATAGACAACTTGCGAGCTGGGGGTATGAACCACTTCTCAAATGCGGCTTTCGGTCTTGAGAGCAGACCCACTTGCGACGAGGTGCAAACTTTCACCTCAGAAGACCCACCTTGCCAGCGACTTGCCTGTCACGCAGCAGGTTTGTTGAGGTTTGCCCATTGCCCCCCCCCCCTCTGGGAGGAAGTGATTAAGCCGACAGGCCCAGTGCCTTTCCCCGGCGACAGCTCCAGCGCCTTTTGATGGGCTATGAACGGATTCCATGGCACGTTCGGTCAGGGCACCCCCGCCTTATGAGTTGAGAAAGACACAAGAGAACGCTAATAAATGGCAAACCTCGCCAGCCCAAAATGACGTTCCTCTTGTTCAACCGCAATATACTCCCGTTCCGCAACAGTACTATGTGCCAAACGCTCATGTATGAAACAGAATGTTGGTAAACGCTTGTCAACTGGCACAACCCTGTCCCTGTGGCCCGTTTCACTCTGAAAAGGTGCCTAGGCTCAGTCCCTCCGGATTGTTTCGCAATATTGACCGGAATTTCACTGCACTTCCTCCCCTCAAGTTGGCATTTTCAGGTATGGGCTTTGGAGGCTATATAATATATAATTACCTCTTGTTCAAGGGGTACTGCTATATACTGCCTTCCCAGCAGTATTGGTGGTAAAGCATCCATGCAAAACCCCTCTTGGCAATGCTCAAGGAAAACATTGGGTTGAACCAAAGAAAAACTGTCTTCCAAAGGGTCCAGGTTCGCCCATTAGGGGAGGTGTCAAATGGCCCCTTTGAGGAGCCAAACGAAAACCAAAAAGGCCCTGGTTTAGACAACCCCTGTTGTGCTGAAGATCCCGTGGAAGGGTTTTCTTTGGGTCTTTCCTGTTGGGTAAAAATGGGCTCGGACCACTTTGAAGGATTCCGCAAGTCCAATGAAACCGTTAAAAGAAAAGCCGGGCAGAACATCGGAACTTTGGACCCCTACACATGGCGGGAAACCAAAAGGAAACCCCAACAGCTGGGGGGTTCCCTAAAAGACTCTTTTCTGGTCAGCCAGAGGGCATTGAAAGGTCTCCCTCGGGCAGCTGGCAAAGGCGAGGCTGGGGAAATGCGCTCTCGAAAAAAACGGGGACACGCAAACCCGGTGGAAAAAACCCAAACCGATACTCTGGCAAAATGTGCGGTGCTCATAGTTCCCTTTTCGGGTGGGAACTAAACGTCCCCTGTTGGTTGCCAAGAGGGAAGTTGCCTTGATTGAAGAGCACACTTCCGGCTGGAAGTGTCCCTCCTGTCTTGTGTTTGTTCGCGGACGATGGTGGGTTCCCAAAACAAAAGTACCGAAAGAAGCATAGAAATCTGGCTGGCTGCTCAAATGGGAGGCTCCAACTTTTGACATCAACACAGAAGGCAACGAGCCTTTTGAAGGGGCGCCACAGTTTGACGGGAAAAACATATTTCTTGAATCAAAGCCCCAGACCTGCCGACTGCCAAGAAGTGCCCCCAAGGCTGTTTCTTTTGAGCGCAAGTCCATGAAGCTGTTCTGACTATGAATACCATAGTAAAGTAAAACAATCAATGGGTGAACCGAGTATCCTTTTCAGCTAGGTTATTCAAGCATTAAATGATAAGTTGCTACGGTGGACGGTGACATTTTATTGAGATAGCCCAAGGCCAGGCAGGCGCCACAGTTGTTCTGAATCTCGTAAGACAGCGGGCCCTTGATCTTGCTGCCCTTCGCCTCAAGGAAAAAACGGTCGCGCCATGCCATCTTGGGAAAAAAAAAAGTGGCACCTGGTCAAAATCGTGCCTCAAAGGGAACGGATCCGGTCCTTTCGGCGTTCCTTGTAAAGCCACCCCATTTTGGAGGCCAACCTCAAAAGAAAGACATCCACCCAAATGACTAGAACCTACCAGCTGACCTAAAGGACAGCGATTCAGGACCGTTGGCAGACACCTCCGGGAGCGGAAATCGAACGTCACCAATGTCATACCCAAGCTGCTTGGTGTGGCCTGTTGGTCGAAGGCTCATCGGCGGTTCGGATTGGTCGAGATTTGAACCCCTGAGCCCCTAAATTAGGGGACGGTGATTGAAACCGAGACCAAAAGGAAGGGAGTCTTTGTCTACCATCTAACATTTCCAGGCTCGATGCTCAAGACCCTGTCAAAACATAGGTGATGTTGGGGGCTTGTTGTTTGCAAAGCGCATGCCCGAAGGGCGCTAAGTTGGGACCCGCCCCCGAAAGCATGTTCAGGTTCACTATGCACAACTGTACGTACACCTCCCCAAATCAAAGTGAAACATCGGTTTTTGATATGAGATCGGCCTGGCTCATGTGTTCCCAAATCAATGGTAGGCTAATGGCACAGAATTTGGCTTCATGGCAAGCTGACAGAATTTGAGGGTTTCTCCAAATGGTGAACCCACTTTGGGTTGGTATTCAAAGTCAAACCAACCATTTTAGCCAGCTGATTCCTATTGAGGACCCCCAACTTATCTTTTGATCACTTGGAATTTTCATGGCCGCCTTGGGGCACAGAAACCCTCCGAGCTGCCTGCCTTGTTTTTGGAAATCACCACGAAGGCATTCTCGTCGAACTTGATGTAGCTCCCATCCTTGCCTGGCAAAGCCAGAATGAATGAATCTGAAGGGGGAGAAGGGGGAGAAGGGAAGGGGGGCAGTGAGACTCACGGTCATAGTTCCAATATTATTTCTGCTCCCCAGGCAGAGGTGAGCAGCTTGTTTGTTCCCCGGGCTTGCATTTTCAAGAATGGAAAGGGAGGACAGCGGCGCCGAGTCCCAAACCCCGAAACGTATGGTCACCCACAGCCCCCAAAGCGTTGACAGCCTCAGGACTCGTGGGAGTTTTCCCGCCGGCCCTTCCTGAAACACAGCCAACATGGTTGGTTCAAGCATTTCGGCCTTGCGGCTGCCCAATCAAAGGTACTAGGGAATGACTTGAATTGGGGGGCCTGCTGGGGAATTACAGGGACCCCTGATACATCTTTCTTCCACACGGCTGGGATCAATCCGCGCCAGCTCTTCGAAAACGAACTCTGGACCAACTTGAGCTCCAACCTTGACCCCTACCCCTACCCGCCAAAAAAAAAGAAGAGAAGCACCGACCACCCAGCTCCCCGGGCCCAAAACTCGGCGTCAAGCCAGTGATCTCCACTGAGAAAGCCAGGCCGGGAGGGCGGTTCCGCTCCTCCAAATGGGGAACACTGGCAGGTTCCCCTGGGGAGTTTTGTCCCAACACGAGGTCTGAAGGTCCCACGTTGAGGACAAATCCAAGTGAAGTCTAGCCCAAAATTGAAAACAAGATCAAGACCACATATTACCCCAAGACAAAACAAGATCAAATCTTACCCCAAGACCACATTTAGTCTTGGACTACAGGGGAGTAGTTGGGACCTCAAACTGAGCCCATGAGCTCCAAAATTCCTCCGCTTTACGAGCAGCCTAAGCAAAAATCTCGGGGCGGGGCGGGGGGCGGGGGGGGCACCCCCCTCCACAAAAATGAAACGTTGCCCTAGTAGCTAGTAAAGCACGTTTTTACGGGTCGCATTTGCGTCGTGAACGCAGAAAATGAGTGGACGCGTTAAATCCCCCACGAATCGGTGAGCTCGTGAAATCGTTTCCTCAGATCCATCCGGTCCTTGCGGGTCCGCGCGA